CTGGGCCTCCTGGTGTCACCTTTCTGTCCTTCTGGCCAAATGGCCAGAGGCGGTGGGGAGCCCTGATTGGACATCCCCAGCGGGGGCCAGCATTTGCAGGGCGGGCTTTCTTCAGCCTGCAGCATCCAGACTTAGGGAGGCAACAAGCCCACATGTTCATGGTTGGATGATGTCCAACGAAATGAGCTGGGCAGGGGGCTGTCTCTGGAATGTGGGTGCCTTGTTACCTGGGTTCCAAATTCTGTTGGACTCTGTTGTCAGGGAAGTGAGGTCACCACTGCCTGGGGTCCCCTTACCCAACTTCTTCCTCACACAAGACCCCCACCCCCGAGGGCCCCCTCCCCCATCTGCTCAATGCTCCCCCTCCCCCCATGCCCAATTCATCCAGTGACTCCCTCACAGCCCCCCCACAGCATTCCCAAGGCCTGGGTGCAGCCGGTGTCCCCGCTGTGAGGACACAGAGCTGGCTTCAGACTGGGCTCCTGTGCATGCCCAGGGCTGTGACCCTGGACAGACCCTGTGCCTCTCAGGGCCTCCCCAGGCTCCCCATCTGCACAGTGGGGTGTTCTGGCTTCTACTCCTATGGACGCCATCAGGGGTAGGACCTCTACATACATTCCGGACCTGCTATCACAGGAGGCTGGGGCACACTTGCCAATGCAAGGAGGAGCCAGGGGCTGGGCGGGACATGGAGCACAGCTCAGAGGGGCCTGGGTCTGCTCTGGCCTCTGGGCAAAGCCACCCCCTTCTTGCCTGTTCCCAGCCCCTGTGGGAAGGTTGCAATGAACGGATTCCGACCTTGTCCACTGGTGACACACACTTCCAGGGGCTCCCATTAGGTTTAGGCTCAGGCCCCGGGGCCTCGTCTGCGCCCCTGTGCTGGGCAGTCCCCACAGTGGTTCCCGGGCATTCCCGCATCCTGCTCACACATCCCTGTGGAATCCCCTCCCCTCCGGGGTGGATGGCCTGTGTGACCGCGCTCTCAGGAAGAGAATGGGGCCAAATGCTGGGATGTCATTTCCAAGCTGATGGAGGAACGTCTGTGACTTCTTCTGGTTCCCTCTGTCGTGTGTTCATTCTCTGTCTCCTTCTCTGTTTCTGTCTCGGTCTCTGTGTCTCTCACAGGAGCAGGATCTGTGGACTCCAGGGGTGATGTGAGAAACCTCAGAAGCCTCCCTTGTCCGTGTTTCCCTCTTCTGTCCCGGTGCTCCGTTCCTTCCTAAGGCCTTGTCACCCGGACCAGAGCAGTGAATCTGGAACCTCTTCCAAATGGAGACCCGGAGGCTGCAACAAGGAGGGTCTTGGCCTTGGTCCCCAGACTAGTGGTCAGTGCTCTGCCACGTTCTGCGTACCCAGGTCCTCAGCCCCCCAAGCCCCCAGTCTGTCCCCTGCTCCGAAGGACCTCGAGGGAGTACAAAGCATTTTCCCAGGACTGGGAGCACAGGGGGTCGGGGATGGAGATCCAAGGCCAACAGGCTCTCCCACAAGCCTGTGGGACCCTAGGGACACTGCATCTCTACAGCCCAAGTGACAGAAGAGTAAGCTGAGGCCTTTGGCTGGAACTCCTCTGGACTTGGGGGTGGGTATCTCTTCCTGCTTCCAAGTGCCCAGGCTGGTGATGGACACCGGAACCCAGACCCTGTCCTCTCCCAGTGCCCTGGCAACCCCCCTGGGCCCCTTGGGGACCCTTGACCCTCAGCCTGGCCTGTCTCCCCTCCCCATGCTATGGATCTGGGTCCTTGCCAGGAGTCCTGATGCCCTGCCCCATGGCCCAGCTGTCTGCAACCTGTTTCTTCTTTCCCCCCTGTCACCAACCTCGCTCCCAGGGTTTCCTCCCCTTCTGACCCCCAGCTGGGCAGTCAGAGTGGTGTGTGTGTGGGGGGGGGTGTGGGGGGGTGGGTTTGCAGGTGCACGTTCCTCTACGTGCCTGGGGATGCCAAGGTCATGTCTCCACATGGGACGGGGTGGGTAGCTCTTCCCGAGGATCTGAGGGGCTCTCAGCCCCAAAGCAAACCTCATGGGAGGGTTGGGACTGGCCTAGGACTGGAGAGCAGCTCCTTGGACTCTGCACCCCTCAGTTGTCCTGGGCCAGTCCCTGCCTCTCTTGACCCAGGTTCCCAACTGTCCCTGACGGTCGGACATGGAAAGGCTTGAACGTGGCTGCTCCTCCAGGGGTAGGTGGGGGACAGGTGCACCAGGCACGCAGGCCTCCCCACCGAGAGGGCCAGCCAGGTGTGTCATGGCCAGGTGTGCACAGACGACCTGCCCACAGCTCCTGGACCATGACCCAGCCCTGCGGCAGATGTGCACGAGACCCATGGCTCCGCACCTGACCGGTCCCCCGCATTCCCTCACCACCTCGGAGACAAGGGCTCTTCTTCGTCCTAGGGCCCGTCATCCTTCGGACAATGAGAGCAGAGGGATCCATATGTAGAGGAGGCCGGCAGGGCGTCCCGCGGAACGTCGTGTGCCCATCTCTGCTTTGTCGTCTAGGCTTAGCGGCGGACCCCCACCTAGAAAGAGGCCCGCGGGGCAGGGACATTTGTCTGCCCTGTTCCCTGAATTATGGAGAATGTCTAGAAGGGGCTTCCTGTCCATGTGTGGAGTCGATGAAGCCCAGCCAGCACCTTTCAGATGTCTGAGTGGCTCTGGGGCCCCTCTGCCAGCCCCCAGGGATCCCTGCTCTGGCTCCACCCAGGATGGGAGCCCCAGATGGAATCTGAAACCTCCTCACAGCCAGGAATGCGGCTTTGCGCGGGACACAGGACACCAAGGCTTGGGGCAGAGAGCTCTTTCACGGTGGAGAGGAACCGCCTCAGCCCCAGGCCACCCTCCCCGTGGGCCGGCCACAGGGTCGGGGAGCGGTCTCAACAGGCCCGACGGCACCCCGTGTGTGGGGCCTGGCCTCGTGGCAGGCAGGGTCCCCAGGAGACACCTGAGGTTCGGAGAGGGGACGTGCCAGGCCCGAGACACACAGCCCGCAGGTGAGGGGGAGCCTTCGGGCGGGACGGGGGGCCCTGCTCACCTTGGTGAGCAGCAGGTGTGGGAAGGGCTGGGGAGGCGTTCCTCTGGGAGGTGCTCCGGGAGAGGGGCCACAGGAGAGGGCCTGGCCCGGCTCCACCAGCTTCCTCAGGCTGTCAGCACGGACCGCCCACTGCCTCTGGCTCGCCCCCAGCGGCAGGGCCCACTGAGGTTCACGGTGGGGCTGATCTGTGGATAAAGGAGGGACAATTCACAACACAGAAACTGCAAAACTATTCCTGTCCGTGTCCCGAAGTGCAACAGAATATCCAAATTGGTTCGGAGCTCCAAGCAGGCAAGTGGGCCAATGGATGGAACCCATGGACAGATGGATGGACAGACAGGTGAAGGCCAATGGGTGGGGAGAGAGGGACAAACAAAGTGAGAGTTGATGACAGATGAACAGACAGGCGCTACTGAATGGATGGACGCAGAGACAGAAAGGATGGGAATAGCAGAGAGATGAATGGACAAAGGCTAAAGAACAGACAGGAGACTAGAGATGAAGGACAGAGGGACAGCGTCAAAAGGAGCCAGGAAGAGACAAGCCAGGCTGCCTGCAGCCCTCCTTGGCCCGAAGCCGAGGTGCCGCATCAGCAGGTGGGGGCAGATAGCCTGTAAGTCCTCTCGGCACGCTACACCCCTGCCCCAAAACCGCAGTCTCCTCTCTGGTAAAATCCAGAAAATCGTCCCAGACACCCCTAGTGCCTGTGCAGGACTGAAGGAGCCCACATGCACTTGGACTTGGCCCCTTACCGGGGGCACCCTCAGTCTGGACACCTGGGACCTTCTCTCACTTTACAAGGCCAGGGGTGGGTGAGGAAAGGGCTACCAGAGGCAGGAGGAGTCATTCCAGGAGTGGAGGATCCTCCCTTGTGTTCGCTATAAGCTTCACTGACAAATTCATCCTGTAGCTTCCCAAGCAAAAGGCTCATAAAATGTCATCAATGTTCATAACGGTTCATAAAAATGATCAGTTGAGCAGGCAACTTCAAAATGAGGTAGAAATAAGTTTAAAGATGTTTTCACTGTAATTCGGCTCTAGGACCCAGATATTTTCAGAGACGTAAATAATAATACATATGGCACAGAACCAGGCTGGGAGTGGGGAGGACAGGCTCCCACCTTGGGGGCTGGCCCCTCAGCTTTGGCTGAGGAAGCTGGGCCTGTGCTGGGTGCCTACTGTCTCCTAGGCTGGGCCCTTCCTGTACCCTCCCTGGAAGCCCTGTGGTAGGACTTGACCCCACTAACCAGAAGCCACAGCCTGGGCTCCATCCACAGACTGACCATCCTTTGCTCATCTGGAATCTAGAACTTGGGTCTCCCCAGTGCCCTCCCAACTTCCTCATCAGGTCCCCTCATTTTTATCTCCTTGCTATGTCTTGGGTTCGCCGCCCCCCTGCCTTCCATCATGCTTCCACAGCCTGAACCACTGCAGACTGGAGCAAACCTCCAACCTCCTGGGCAGGGCCTCCAGAAGGACCCCATCAAAACACACACTCTATCACCCCTCTGCCCAAGAACTTCGGGTGGCTCCTCCCTGCCTGGAGCACCGTGTCCTACAGGCTCAGCATCCAAAGTCCTTTAGCATTCAGTTGGACCAGACCTGCCAGCCCCCCACAGCCCCACATCCCCTTCCCTTGCTCTTCCACATCTTTGCAGACATCCTCTTTCCCTAGTGAACGCCTCTGCATCCTATGAGACCCCAGCCACACATCACCATCCTCATCTCCGGGTGGGTCTTTGGGAGGGTGGGAGGGGGAGGTCATGGCCTCATCTTTGGGCAGACTGAGTCAAATGGTCAGTCCCATGTGGGAGGGTTAGGCGGCCCAGAACCCACCTGTGCTGTTGTTAGGGCCTGGGCACAAACCGACCGACAGACCACAGACTAGGGAGGGGAGGAAGGGAGGGAGGCTGGAAAGATTGAGAAGCAGACCCACGGGAAATGGAGCAACAAGGCTCCATCCTGCCCACGCACGATGTGTGGGGATAAGCCCAGACCCTACCTGCAGGACGTCTCTCGGAAGGAGATGTTCACGTCCCAGTGGGTGTGGACTCTGCAAGGAAAGAAGCGGAGGGTCAAAGTGGCCTCCAGGATCTGGTACCTGAACAGCAGGGTGTGTGTATGGCATAGCCCTCATCTTCCCCAGAGCGCTGGCCCCAAGGGAACTGGGTTGGCTCGGATTTGTCTCCAGTGCTATCTGGTACCAGCTCAACCAGCCAGTGGCTGCCACCAGGATAGGACCGTGGGGCAGGAGCCGACTCCTGGTCTCACCAGACAAAGGAATTGGGAAGGACAGAAATGAGGCTGCCACACCTGTCCTTCTTGTTGCAGCGAACCCAGGAGAGCTGCCACATTGTGCTGAGGGCGGGGGTGGGGAGGGGAGCTGCAGCCTCTTCTGCGATCAGCCATGCAACTGAACCAAATTCCTAGTTGCTAGAGCTGCTCCAGCCAGGCTGGAACAGGTCAGGGAGCAAGCCCCATGGCCGCTGCCAGCACCTATGGTCCAGAGTCAGCCCAGGTGGGTGCAGCTTCCTGGGTCCCAGCTGCTACCAGTCTGCCTCCTGAAAGCGACCACCGCACTTGTAGGTAGGAGGGATGCCAAAATGAGAGGTCAAGTAAGGAAACAGCTCTGCCCTCTGCCTGTCCCCTCACTCATAGCAGTGTTCCCAGAAAGACCCTCAGGCTGAGGGATGGTGGTTGGAAGCCTGTGTGGGTGTGTCACCTTAGCAAGCGTGGGTAGGAGGGCTGGGAAGTGGGGGTGTTGGGGGTTTGGGAGGGTTATTTTAGGGCAGGAGATGTTGGAACACGTTGAAAGACTAGGTGGGAAGAGAAAAGGCCTAGAAACTCTGGGGGTGAGTAGCATGTGCTGGATGGACAGACAAATGAATGGACCGACGACAGATAGATGGAGGCATGAAGAGGTGAGTGGACAGTGGGAGGTGTCTCTGCCAGGAGAGGAGATGGTGGGAAGTCAGGAAGAGTGGCCCCAAGCCTGGAAGGGACAGTGGGTAGCCAGGAAAGCTGCCTCCTGCCAAGGAGAATGAGCCTGAGAGTTTCAGGGACAGCTCCGGGAAGGGGGCTGCTCAGCTCCTTTCTCTCCGCCTGGCTGTGGTGGTATCAGGCCCTCCCTTCCTGGGTCTCCCTGACTGCCCTCCTCCGAGAGCCCCTGGCCCTTCCTAGAGCCTCCTTCCTTCCCCACATGGAACCTCGTCGACCCCCTCCCTCCAAGTGGGGGCAGGGTACGTTCTCACTATGGTCTTGTGGCGTCAGGGGTTCGGGCTGTTTCAGCTTCGGCAGATACCAAGACATGACAAGCTCAACCTGGGCCCTGTCCCCAGGGCAAAGGGTCCTCGCCCTGGCCTGGCCTTCAGCTACCTGGAGACACCAGTCTTGATGTCCCGACCAGAGCCCGGGTGCCTCCCCCGAGCCTGGCCCCCAGTAAAAGTACCTTCTCCTCATGAGAGGGACATGTGGGGTGTCCCCCTGTTTCAAGCCTGGTTGCCGCCCACAGGCTGGGCCACTCCCATCGCTGTCACCATCACTGGACGAGAAGCTGGGGGTCAGCTCCTTCTTTAGGACCCGTGCAGTGGGCAGGGCAACTGTCCTCTTGTCTGCCAGCCGCCCCCGGTTCTGGGTAGGGAGGGAAGAGAGGAAGGTTAGGCTGAGCCAGGACGCTCAGGGTCCTGGGAGCTGTGCACTCCAGGCCCAAGCCTCAGGCAGGGTGCAGGTGACGGAAGCCCTCAGAGCAGCTGCTAAGATCAAATAGGCACCATCACTGGCCCCGCTGCAGGGCTTCTAGCCCACAGGACAGGCCCGAGGGTCCACATGGGTCCCAGTGGCTGGAGCTGAAGACAAGAGCAGAAAGATGAGGCCCGGGTCTGCTACCGGGGAGCGGGGTGCAGTGAAGGGCTGTAGGCCCTGGCCAGGCTCCTCGTGACACTGCCTTGTCCAGACTCTGCACTCTAGCCGGAGTGTGGGGGTGCCCACCCGGAGGCAGACCCCAGCTTTCTCGGCCCCAGGGAGCCCCAGGGACCACGTGTGCACAACACAGCATGTCTGCATTCTGCCACGTGTTCAACGTGCAGCTACCTCTGTGTGCTTGTGTCTGCTGGACCGTCCCACAAGCTCCTGCATGAACCCCCAGCCACTGCCAAGTCCTGTCTTCTATTCTGCTAGTGCCATGCAGGGTCCAGTTCAGGGTTGTTTGGAGCCTGAGTCGGGGGCCTGATCCTGCTGACCCCTTGCAAACTGCAGGCCCGGGGTTCACAGGTCACTTGATGGGGAGCCCTTACCAACCTAGACCCTTTGTCCCATGGGCCCCTAGTGAGCCTGCCCTCTGGGTCAGAAACAGAGATTCCATTTCTTCCACAACACCTCCTTCTCCCCTCCCTACACCCATGTTGTGAGGATGTGGAGCTCATGTGTGTGCTGTGTGCTGGGAGATCAGAGCAGGAAGGCATGTCCTGTGCACAGACATGGAGGGTACTCCACACCGAGCTTGTCCGTGCTCAGAGCACACTATACAAGGTCACTATACACCAAGGCTCCCTACAGTGTCCTTAGGTCCTGCTGCCCCAGTGGAAGAAGAAAAGTTACTGATTATTTTCGGGTGGGCAGGAACCCTTTTCTTATTTAATAAGGGGTTGCTGTTTCAGGGGGGTGGCAGGGACCTTGGGATTATCTAATTCTCTCTCATCTCTTCAGTCACCTGGGGACCCTCGGACATCCTCTTTCCTGTTGCAAGGACAATGCCATCATACCCACGAGCTTGAGGAGGAAAGTGTGGAGGAGGGTCTCGCCTCACCCTGGACCCGTGTCATCCTGGACCTGAAGGACTGCTAAGCAGCCACCATCGTCCTGCCCTCCAGAATAAGGGACCTTCCCTTCAGACCCAGCCCACCCCAGCTCCAGATTTGGTCAGTGGCCCCAACAGGGTCAGGGGGCCCTAGTCTTCTCCCCTCGCTTGGTCTGGGGACCACAGTTGCCCCCCTCTCCAGGCCCCCCACCGCGAGCCACAGTCTCCCCCATACTTGCCCTTATGAATCCACTTGGGACACCCTCCGTATTCCTCTCTGCAACATACTCAGTGAGAGACCCTGGACAGCACTGGGGCCGGGTGGGAGTCTGAGGGTAGGCCTGAGAGATGAAATGGCCTGCTTTGTGGCCCCTTCTGAGACCCTGGCCTTGGCCCTGTGCTCTAACAGCAAGAGCAGAGAGTGGTTGAGCCGCAGGTGCGAGGGCCTGTCTGGTCCAGCTATTGGGCGCCAAGGGCAGTGTTTTCAACAACCGCTGGCCTGTCTGAAGTGTGCAGGGCTGGGAAGTCCCACTCCGGTCTGCCCTTCTCTAGCCTGTGGCCCAAGCACCAGGACCTCCTCTCCTGTCTTTCTGCTTTAATTGAACTATTCTCTTAAGAAGAAAAGGAAATGCATTGCCCTCTGCTTCTCATCTGTAGGGCGAGGAGGAGAGGAAAATGAGGGCAGTAATACCGCCACTTGGGATGAGGCCAGACCAGCTATGCTGGCCTGCGGTGGCTCTTGGAGGTGCTCCTGTGGGAGGGGAGCTGGGGAAGAGGGACCAGGATGGGCAGCCCTGACCCCGACCAAGGACAGGGAGCATACTTTCCTCCTACGCACACCCAAGACCTCAGCCACTCACCCCTGCTCAGCAGCGCAGATTTGAAAACTCTGTGACAAACCTCTGTTGCTAGTCAACGATTGGCGCCTCAGAACACAAGGAGGGGAACAGGAAAGCCATCTTGCATGTCTGCATGATCCCTGCACCAAATATGCACACCCACATTGTGCCCCTGGGGTATCTGTGGCTGTGAGGTGTGTATGTACCTTCGGGCCTGGCTGTGGGGGATGGAGGAAGACCATCTCTATGTGGCGAAAGCGGGGCTGGAAAGACAAGGGGGTCTGTGTAGCTCCTTCCTAAGGGAAGGGTACAGGGATGGGCCTGGGAGGGACCAGGTTCAGGAGAGGCAGGCCCAGGTCTGAGGCATCCCTCATGCAGGACAGGGACCCGGGAGCCCCAGACAGGTAGGCAGTTCGAGGTCGTGGCCTCATCCCTGCCAGACCTCCCCACCCCTCTCCAATCCAAGCAATGTCCCGGGGAAATTGATACTGGGCTCAGGCCACCTGAACCCCACACTCGTGTGAGAGACCTCTGGAAGGGTGGGTTAAGACAGGCTGGGACCCTCCAACCCGAACGGATACCCCAGGCTAGCCTTGAGGGTGCCCAGAAGACTCTTCTCCAGTACCAGCTGCTTGAAAAGGTGTGTTAAGTGGAGCGGGAGCTCAGCTTCTTGCCCCAGGCAGGTACCGTAGTAGCAGGTAAGAGGTGGGCTGCCTGTGCGCACATACTCTGACCACGAGCTCATGGCAGACAGGTGTGTGGGGTAGGCACACAGGAGAGGCATGGCTGTATCCCCGTCCCCCTGTCCAACTTGTGTGTCTGATCTGGTGTCTGTATTCACAGGTGTGTTTGTGGCTTCCCTGCCTGCTCAGGTTACCCGCCTCCAGGGTCCATGAGGAAACCAAAACATCCCTTCCTCCTTCCTACTTCCAGTCCAAAGTAAAGAAGCTGAAGGTGGTGTCCTGGGTCCTCTCTCACCCCTTCCTGTGTGGGGGGCTGCAGACGCCAGCAATAACAGCACAATCCCAACCACCACCAGCAGCCAGGGCCCTAACCGGCTCTCCCCGAGCAGCTCAAAATTGGTTCCTCTCAGGATGCAATGTCTTCTTCAGATCAGTCCTCCAACTATGGCTGCCTGGAGGACATAGGATGTGGAAGACAGTGCTTCAGGGGCAGGCCCAGCACCCCAATCTCTGCTGCTCCCCTAGGCCAAAGAGGGCGTCATACATGTCTACACTGGGTTGGGGGTCCCACATCAGCCTCCACCTCCAGATCTTGACACCAAAGGCCCACACTGCTCAGATTCTGCCCCCAACTGGGTTCTATCCTCAGACTCTCCTGGACATCCAGGGCCTTGCCCAGCAGGGTTCTAGCTTTTGGCATCCCAGAGACACATGTTACTCACCTCCAAGATGTGACCACCCCAGAATGTACATCCAGGCCAGCCAACAGTGTCACATCCCAGAACAAGTGTTACCTTAGGACCAGCCCCTCTCCCAAGCCAGGCCAGCTGACACAGTGACACCCCCACCCCCACCCCAGACCTGTGACAGGGCAAGGTCCCAGGCCCCAGGTGGATGGCACTGTCCAGGGAGGAGACCTTTACAGCCTAGGCTGTCCCCAAGACCTGAGAAGAAGCAGCTCCAAGATAGGGAATGGTCAGGTCCTGCATGCAAAGAGCGGAGGGCTGCCCCAGGATTCCCACCCAAAGCGAAGTCTCCCCTATTTGCCCCTGCGGGGGCTCACTCCTGCACACTGGCAGGGTTGAGGTTAGGACTCTGGATCCTAGAGAACAGGCACAAGCTCCACAGGGGAGAAGGAAGACCCAAAGCCCCAACTTTTCTCCCCCATCTCACCACCGGGGAGGATATTCGACAGCCCGGACAGTCGCAGATCGGAGGGTGCACCTGCAGAATCCCCTTGGACATAAGCGTCTTCAGACTTTTTCCTGTGAGGAGAGCCGAGGCAGGACCGGTGAGAGAGCAGGGCTGGGGCACAGGTAGAGCCGGCGCGCACGGGCGCGCTTTCGGGGCGCAGTAAGCTGCAAGGCCGGTTCCCCCTCCTGGCACGTGCAGGAACATCCAACTTCCGAACCCGCTCCCTGGCCCTGCCGCCCCCCACACCCTCGCGGACGCCGCGGGGTTCTGCGGAGCTCAGAAACTCACGATCCCGGCAAGCGCCGGCCCCTGACCAAGGGCGGCCTCCTCCCCGCCCCCTGCGTCCCTCCTCCCGCTCTCCACCCTCTCTCCAAGCCGGTCCGGGGGAACTGGGAACAGGGTTCACGAAGGTCGAGCCTGCGCGCCGGTGAGCGGCGCCGCCGGGACCAGGGCTGTGTCTGAGCCCTCAGCGGGAGGAGGGCGGCCACAGCAGAGCCGCGAGCCTCAAAGCCCAGCGCGACGGGGTCCCCAACTTTCTAAGGATCCCCCACCCCCGCCCCTGTCGCTCGCTGCGCTTCCCCCGTTTGCCTGCTCTGGCGCCCTCGCAACGCGCCCTCGGAGCCAGACTCCTGAATGCTCTGAGCAGGCTGCTCCCAGCCCCGCCGCCGTGCCAGCTCCGCGCGCGCCCCCGCGGCCCCCACCTGCCCACGACACCCCTCCACCTTCCCTTGCCTTCCAACAACTCGCACCCGCACCCCGGCCGCCCGTGGACTCCCGCTGGAACCTGGTGGCTCCCCGACCCAGGAGGGAAGTTGGGTCCCGCCCAGCCGGCCTCCCGCCGTCTCCCGAGGTCCCCTAAACTTCCCCTGGGCCACACAGCCCAGGAATCCCGCAAAGACCTTCCGAGTGGGAGGAGGGGCCGGCTCGTGTGCAGCCGGGAGCCCAGAGCACCGCGGCTCAAGCTGAGGTGGCGGTGGAGGCCGAGGGCGCTCTGCTCGGGTCCACCAAGGCGACCGTGCTGGGGGCGGTGAGGGGGGGGGAGTGTCCCCGCGGCAGCCCCAGAGTCGCAGCGCCCTCTCCGGGCGGAGATGGAGTCTCCCAGGTGGCAGAATGAGGGGGTCCGGACCCAGGGGTCCTCGGGGAGCAGAGGGGAGGGACCGTAGCGGCCTGCGCCCCCGCCGCGGCCGCACCTTTGTGGCGGATGCTGCGCTTCCAGTCCTTGGCCGTCTCTCCGCCGCTGACGAACTGGAACTCGTTGGGTGTGAGCCACTCGCCGCGGTGGCGGATGGACGGACCCTTGCTGCCTCGGCAGAGTTTGCGCACGGAGAGCAGCGCGCGGTGGGCGCCGCGCTCCACCTCGATGCCCGGCTCGCCGTTGTCCAGCAGCGGCTGGAAATCGGGGCCGCGGCCGCAGTGGCTGAGACGCGTTCGAGGGCCAGAGGGCCCCGGGGCAGGTGGAGGTGCGGGGCGACCTCGTGCAGGCTCAGGTAGGCGCGCGGGGAGCGGAGTGGTGGAGCCCACAGCGCCTCGTAGCCAGCGGTCGCGGCGGGTAGCGAGGCGGCCGGGGGCAGGGCGGCCGCGGCCGGCAGCGGTGTCGGGTAGCCTGGGAGCGACGGCAGTGGCAGTGCGGCCCGGGTCGGATGGAAGGTGGCCAGAGCCAGGGCCAGGTCTTCGCGGCCTGGGAGCTCCTTCTTGACCGCTGGCGTGACGGGCCGGTGGCCTTGTAGCCTGGCTCTCCGCCCCCGGCGCCACTTGCTCGGGCCTGGGCTGGCGTTGGGTCTCGAGGGCGGGGGGCCCGGGAGTCTCCCGGCCGCGCGCGCGCCCTACCCGCTACTGCGCCCCGGCACCTGCGGCCGCGCCGCCCGCCGGGCCACCACGGGCCGCTTCTCGGCCGGCTGCCGGGGCCTTGGCTGCCCGAGACATGGTGCTGCGGGAGCTCCTCTCGATCCCCTATCGACCTGCCGAGCGCCGCAGCCCCGGGGCCCCAGGGCTCCACAGGGCCCTGGGCCACCTGCGCCCGCGCCCCCTGGGGCGGCCCCGCTCGCTGGTCCGCCCGCAGGGCCCAGCCAGGCAGTGGAGTCCAGAAGTCTCCGGCCCTGCGCCCCGCCCCGCCCGGGGGTCCCAGGCCCCAGCCCCGCCTCGCCGCCCCGCCGCCCCGGCCGCGCGCCCGCCCCGCAGGGACTTGGGAGACTCCCGCCGCCGCCGCCGCCGCCGCCGCCTCAACTTGGCCCATTTAAACGGCCCAGGCTCGGCGGGCTCCAGCAGGGGGTGCGTGACGGCCGACTGGGCTCACACGGCTGGCGGCGGGGCCGGTGGGACAGGGCTGCGCCCCTGCCCTATTTCCAAGCGCGCGAGGGTGTGCGAAGGAGCGTACGCTAGCGAGAAGCTGCGCGCACCGACCGCGCCATCGTTGAGGGAGTCCTGGGGCGCAGCTGGGAGTCCCGGACTACACTTGGGGAGGGGGCGGGCCCAGGACCGAGAGTGGGCTCCTGGCGCAGGAGGGACCTGTGATTAGGAGCGGCCCGCTGGCCTGGCGGTTCTGGGTAGGAGTGTTTTCACAGCGGCGGTGGGTGGTGGGCATCAGTGTCGGGCGTGGGTGGTCTCCTCTGCATCTGCAGGGTGTGAGGCTGTGGGTTTGTGGTGTGTGGCCTCTGCAAATGTGTTGGGGAGGTTTCATGTTCTGTGAACAACACGAAAAGGATGCTGTCAACTACCGCCGCCTTACTACTCTGCACTTTACATGCCTTAGTTCACTTGATCGTCTCAATATGAGTTTTCCTCCTTATTCTCATTTTATAGATGAGGAGGGTGAGACACAGAGAGGTCAAGTAACTCTCCTGATGTCATACAGCTGTTTTAAATCCAGGCTCTCTGACTCCAGGACAAACAATATCTGAGCCATGCTGTGGGGCAGGAAGGTGGGCTAGACGCAGTCTGGTTGAGGGATGGAAGATGTGGGGAGGAAGAGGGGCCGATGAGTGCGAGATTGCACACTTGAGCACATTTCTGTTCCCTAGTATGAGCCAGTCTGGGGAAGAGGAACCCTCTACACTCATGTCCACTTTGGTGCCTTGAGGAAGCAGGTCAGCCTTGGCCCAGTCCTGGCATGAGGGTGGCTTGTCCCTTGGTGTTCAACTCCCATCTCCCTGCAGGCCAGCATGCCAGCCTTGCAGTAGAAGCATTAGGAAGAGAAACAGAAACCTACTAATAGCTGATGAGACAGGTTTGTCTTTCTCTGATGTGTTATTCTGAACAAGCTAGAAAGTAGCCTCAGATCCCATCCCAGCGCCTAGACCCCCACTGAGATGCATTTGGCATGGCATTTTTGTGGGCATCTCTCTGACCAGGCTCTGGGGGGTTGAGCTGGACCACAGGCGTGCTTGCATGAGCACCTTGTGCAAGGGAGTGATGGAAGTGAGGGAGCACCCCACCCTCACCCACCTCCTCCCAGGCACCTGCACCAGCTGGGCATGAGCCTGACCCCTGGCTCCTGCTCTGCTCTCCCTTGCTGATGCACACTGCCAAGATCATCTGCAACTGAGGCACCAGCCAGCCCCAAGACTGACTTGGGGAGCAAGGTCTGGGCTGAGACCAGGAACGTGTCTGGGAACCTATGCACCCAAACCTCTGTATCCCCCTTCTGCTCTACTCTTTGTCCATCTGCCTGCTGGGATTTAAGGGGCCAGGTGTGAATGTGGGTGTGAAAGTGAGTGGTCCTCTATGGTGTGCCACCCTCAGCCCAGTTGCCCTCCGTGCAAACTGGACACCTGCACATGCCTGACCCTAGGTGCACACTCACCTTCTGTGGCCCGCGTCTTGCTCTCAGGTGTGCGGCCTCCATGTCTAATGGATGCAGGAGGCTGTTCCTGCCCAAGAGCCAAGGCCCACAGAGGAGCCATCATGCTAAGCTGTGGTCATGGCACAGTGTGGAGAGGTTATCAGGGCTCAGCGTGAGGCCAACTGTCTGGCTACAGCCCTGACACCGCTTTCAAAAGATGGTCCCCTCCACTCAGTTCTTCTCATGTTTGCCTGCACCTATTCACTGACCCTTAGGCCTCCTAACCCCTGACCTTTAAACTGAGGTTTGGGGAGGGAAGGCTAGTGAAGTTTATCTCTAGATCTGAGAAGGTACCATGTAGCCTGTGGAGGGGGCCTCCCTTCCCTTCTGCAGGACCACCCTTGACTCACCCCTGACTTCTTTCATCCTGAACAGGCCCACAGTGGTGAAGGAGGGGCAAAGGAGGCCCCAACTCTGGCTTTCGGAAGTGGAACCCAGCTGGCAAGGTAAGGGGGCTAAACTAACCTAGCTCACCCAGCCTAACCTCCATGCTACTATCTGGTTCCACCTCTCTCTGGAGGATCAAGGGGCTTCCTAAAATGACCATGACTGGGTTCAAAGCTCCCTGCAGGACCCCTTCTCCTCCAAGGGCCACACCCTGACTTTCAGGAGACCCCCTTCTAGGGCTTTGGCTGATCAGTTCACCCCTACCCCCACCCCTACCTGTTTCCCACTCTTCATGGGAAGTAGACCTCTCTGCCCACAGGATCAGAGCCACTTTCCCACAGGGATCAGGCATCCTTACTCCTGGGCATTCTACCCCTGCCACAAGGATCTGCTCACTTTCTTCCTCCTGTCCACCTGTGTCCTGGTTTGGCACCTGCGCTGCGCTTCTGACTGGAGCCAGAGGTCAGAAGGACAGAATTTTGGCTCTAGAATCTCCCCCTGCCTGGAGTTCAGGCCTGGCGGCACCTTCCTTGGGAAACGTCGGTGGGAGCGGCTGCCCAAACCCCTCCTCCGGCCCTCAGAGGCCCCGCCCCTGCCTTCCTCGCGGCCAAGGGGGCTCCCTCGCTGCTCGCGGTCCCCCCGCTGGGGGCCCTCTGCCGCTGGGCCAAGGCCAGAGCCCCCGCCGCCGCCGCCGCCGCCGCCGCCGCCGCCGCCAGGGAGGGGGAGGGGGTCATAAATAACCCGCGGGGCGGCGCGGCCCGGGCAGTGCAGAGGGTGACCCGAGGCATCCCCGGGGAGCGCGCGGGGGCGGCCCGCAGACCCTGCTGCCCCCAACCCGGGCTCGGCCAGCCTTGACCGCCTCTTCTGGAGCTCTCCGACCCAGTCCACGACTGGCGCTCCTGCCAGTAGCCTCCCTCCCATCCTGGAGGGCCTGCCTACCCCCATCTCCAGACTGTGGCCCTTAGAGCCCCTTTTCATCCCTTCCTTCACCAGTCATTTATTGAGCACCAGATGTGCAGCCCCAGGGAGAGGGATCCAGAGGTGAGGCTGGGAGATGCCCAGGAAAGCAGTGTGTCTCTGGATCTGAGGTGCATCCTTGGGCCTGCTCCCTCAGCCTAGTCTTCCTGAGCTCATCCAGGGTGACTGTCAGGGTGGGAGGGCAGGCCCAGACATGCCAGACACGGGAAGGCATGCAGGGACAGCCCACACAGGTGTGAGCACAGCTGACACGTCTCTGAGGAAGTGCATCCTTGTGTACACATCCGTGTCCTCAGGCAAGCACCCGAAGCCCGCAACAGATACGTACGACAGGGTACATTCTCAAAAGTGCAGGCGCAGGACAGGGGCTTGCACGGATGCTGACATCTTGACCACACACGTGCACGGACAGTGTATGTGTTCACTTACAGCACAGCCAGAGGAAGGACACCAAGACCTGTGCAAAAACATCCGTAGACACACAGGCCTGCACCATGGGCTCCATTTGGATACAGCTGTCATATCTAAGACAGCATGGCTGGGGCAAGGGTCTGGTTTAGGAAGGGTTAACCTGTGAGATCAAAGGTCAGTGGTGAGTCAGCTGGGGCTCCCCCAGACTCCCTGCAAGGGTGGCCTGAGCTTCCCTCCGGGAGGAATCTGTCTGTTTCCAGCTGCAGGTCAGACACAGGAGGGGCTGCCCTGCTAGCACATGCCTTACCTTTGGCCAGTCCCGAGCTGGCGGCAGGCCATGCCGTCTCCGTCTCAGGAGTAGAGATGTTTCCGAGCCCAGTCGGTTCACTGACCTTAACATATGCCATTTAAAGGAGAAAGAGATAGGACCTAGGGTCAACCTTACGTTCTCTGGTGGGTGTGCAGACTTGGGGCACCCACAGGGCACACGCTGCCGGAGAGCACTGGTTACACGATACTCACCTGCTGTGTTACACAGAAGTTGGGACACACACACACTTTCTCAGACACCAATACAAGGACACAAATGAGCTCAACACACAGGGTGTGCTGGGTACACTGATGTTGTACAGAGGAAGTTGCTGGTCTGGCAACATGGGTCGGAGTCTGGCTACCACTGGCTCTGCTTGCTTGGCCCCTCTTGAGGAGGGACGAAGACACCCACTTGCTGGCATCACTGGGGACAGAGAGCAGCACCTGCCCCAGAGCAGCCTGCCGGGGGCTGTGGACCCTTCTTGTCCAGGGTTATGCTGAGGTAGGCTGACACAGGTGGTAAGGACGGCAGACTCTGCAGGGGCCTGAGATTTGGGTCCTCCTGGCTAGCCACTGAATGACCCAGTCTTCTCTGCCCTTCATTGGACATTAGTTTCTCCATCTGAAAAATGAGATAGGGGCTCAAAATCTGTGGGTTCCCTTTGGCTCAGAGGAGAGCAGTCAGGGTAAGATGTGGCTACATGTGCCCTGGTCAGCACGGTGAGGCAGGCCTGGCACACCCTAGATGCTTTCTCCATAAATGGGCCCAGAGTGCAGGACCTGGGGGGTCCACTCCAAGGTAGGGCCAAGTAAAGGGCAGGAGCAGAGTCTTCCAGGGCCCCTAGGGACCAAAGAATCTATCCCAGTGAATGGGCATGAGGGCTGGTGTCACCCCTTTCTCTCCCTGTCGACATTGCCAGCCTACTGCCTGGACATGGCTTGGGGTGGAAACGGGGTTGGGGGGACCCCCGGACGCAGCTGGTGCCCTGCTGGGTGG